CCGTTGTTTGTTTGTCTGAGAGAGATCATTCAACGCGATGTTTGGGACTGGACTCAGTTCAAACTGGAAGATGTTGAATAGATCCACGCTCCGCTGCTGCCCCAAGACCAACAGCCGACTAAACAGTGTCTCGATGTCGTAGATGGCCTTCCCTTGACAGTGACTGCCTTTCTTGAGTGCCTCCTTTGATCTAACCATTTTCTTTATTGCGTTTTGTGGAAGTCACTGCTTAGTGAAGCGGAGAACTGCTTGCTTTGCTCACTCCCGATAGTCAGTGCATCCTGAACAGTTCACTGTGTCGGGCGCCACTTGCCATTGCCAGATGTTAATAGAGACCTGGAATGCTGCTCGTTGAGGGGGTGAGTGTACTTCTCCAGATCTGCTGGCGATCTTCCTCCGATCGACCTCATCCAGTCTTCTTCTTCCCTCTCCTCCTCCTTGTGCTTGTTCTTCTCCTCTCCATCCACTCGACCATGTGGCTTCTCCTCATCCCCAGCTTCACTGTACATAATTATCTTCCATGGCGATATCGAGGTGGGCACACACACTGAATACGTGTCAGCGACAAACTCCGTTACGCGGTTACGCCTATCACCGGTAAGTGTATGCTGGGAATTTAACACACACGGTATGAATGATTTCTTCTACTAACCCGGCATTTAAATACTTTAGAACATTAGACATTAATTAAAAAGGTGTTGATAGGCTCTTGTTTGAAAATTCAATTATTGGTCTTGAACGTCCGTACATCGATTTCATTACGTTTCCATAATAATATAACGACTATACTAATTAGAAAACAAATGTTTGTGCGCGCATTCTTCTTTGAAAACAGTATTATATCTAATGGAGTTATGGAGTGAAGTCATTAAATTACGAAGTGGGCCAAACAGTGAGGTATATATCGTACTTTAACGTAATCGCATGGTACATGTGTGTGAGGGAACGGCAATCTTACATACTACGCGTATGTTAAAAAATCGAGCATTATGCAGCTCGATTATAGATAGCAGGCCAGAGTACAAAGCTTCCAGATGATCTATAGGCACGATGGCTTTATTTGGCTATATGGCTACGATTCAGATACAAAATTCAATTTCGTTCCATGTAAGTGGGGCATTTGTCTTACTTAAACCGTATCTACATCACTGAAGTCGGTAATGCATCTACACAGTACGAAAAGGCGTGTTTTAAATAACGGGGCATTTAAAAATCCGCTTTACTCGAAACTTTTTGTTATAGTAGGTAGGACGGAATACGGATGGTCAATCTTAATCGGCAACACAGGAAAATTCGACGTTTTTATTAGACTCGCAGACGGGTGTCTTTCTTTGCACTCTGTATTTATGTATCGTGACTGCAATAATATTTTGCGATAACCAATACGATTGTGTAGTTGTATTTGCAAAAAACTCAATCTGCATTACGTCATTTGCATAAATATTGTCCGCATTAAAACCAATCGAAAATTCATTATAATGAAAAAAGAAAACTACCATAACACGATTTTGTCCTAATATGGACCAAATATAATACGAAGCCATTATTAAAGCATGCGCTTCATACATCGTGTAGGCTCGCGTGAAAGAAAGAATAATAATATGACGCGTGTCGGTGCTCGTCTATAGGGCTGCACGCGTGATCAGTCTACGGCGCTGCTGAGGCAACCTAACACGCTTCACACGGGCCAGCAATCGCTGCTAAACCCCTAATAATCTTTTTTTCCGGTCGACTCAAAAAGATATTACTCTACATTGATATGGTCGGATGATCACTGCGGATCACTTCGAGTGTCCCAGTGTCTGAATGTACGGCAGTCCAAAAATAAAGAAAATAAGGACTAAAAATGTTTGGTAGACAAATGTAAACCACACGATGCGCGTAGGCACCGACGTTTCAAATTTGCAGGTATAAAAAAATGGTTTCTCTTTTTGTAGAGTTAAAAGTTATTTTTATAAATAAATACACACACACTTAACACGACAGTCTAGCGTAACCGAGTTTAGGGCGCGAACATGAGCGCATACAGTAGGACTAATTCTGTTCATTCACGTAATTTTCTTACGTATGCGCTAGTCGAATAAAACAGAGTTCGCCACAGAAACGAATTATTCTTCCGGTTAAATAACGGAGGAAAGCTCCGTTAGGATGGGGCAGGATAGTCACCGCCTGGATTTAATATTAAAAATCGACCCGGCGTTGTGAAAATGACCGCGAGCAATCACCCGAAAGACCTCAATTTCATTGTAGGTCAAACAATTTGAATAAATAGAGGAACCTGGTCTAAAACTAAATATGCTCCTGTTTCCTGTTACAAGAGAAAGAGTGGAACGAAATTGAAACGTAATTAACAGAGACAGTGAAATCGGACTCACGCAGTTGTATTCTTCGTCTAAAAGCTTAATATGAATGCGTGCGTGCGTGCGTGCGTGCGTGTGTGTGTGTGTGTGTGTGTGTGTGTGTGCGTGTGTGCATGCGTGCGTGTGCGTGCAGTGAGCGTATCACAACGAATGGCATATACGCAGCGCCTAACGGGCGCGGCACTGGTTACAGTGTATCTTTGATCGCATATACGACTACATAATACACGACACAGCGAAACATAGACGCTATGCCTTCACATTATGTCCGCTCTTTCGCTCCCCGCCATTTTACACGGGAATAGATGAAACAGGAAACCTGACAGTACAGTGCCGTCTTTATGCTTGTGGAGCAAACAAGAAGCTCCAGTGTCTGCCTCCAAACTGTTTCTATATCTACGTGTGTCAAAATATGCTTGCGTGCAGATATAAGGCTTACTTGTTGACATCAAGTAGAAGACTGACCGTCCCTTCATCTTAACATATGTGCAGAGTTGAGTAGATGACCGTTCCTTCGGGGCCTAGTTAAGTACATAATCATTAGTGTGTACGCGTCCACCCTCGCATAGTAAATAACCGCTGTCGCGGCGTGTGTGTCTATGCGCTATTAGAGTACATCACAAGCTGCGCGTGTGTATCCTGGCAGAGTTTGCGGGACAGGGACGCATGATAGATGTTTGATCCCGTATTATCCCCGGGGAAAATACCGGATGCGTGCCCACAGCCGCTGAATTGCCCATTAGCGCCCATGCAGAGAAGCGACAGCTGGCTTATTCGCGACGGGGGACATAGTCTAGATAACATCACATCACTGCCGACCAAACGTCGCGTTAGCCCTACAACGCCACTGGCGCCCTCTATGCTTCCCGCCTGCAGCCGTCGGAAGCTTCAGCAGCGGAGGATTGCTGGACGGCTGCCTTCCGTTTCCGCATCCGTCAGCGCTTATACGCCGACCGTGTATAACTATCGATCGCGAATGTCGTTAACCTCCCCTGGCGCAGCGGTTGTAAACGCTAACCGAGTTACCTCCAGCTGTCCTCGTGCACGCCTGCGCGCGCGCGTCGGCCTCGTACATGCAGCGCGTGTCACATGTCTGTGTCGCAGGGCTGAATAGCGGCGTGTCGGTTGCGATAAATGTATTCGCCTGCGACACCTCACGCCGACCACTTTACACGACGATATCAGTTTCGTCGACAACCTTTTAATTCGTTCCGACGCGCGGCGCTGCGCACGCCGGTAAGCTTCAGCAGCTGTCTACTGTCGGATCCGCTGCTCGAGCAATCACTGATTCAGGACTAGTAAGGCGTATACACGAACTCTGATGAGGCATCATTTGACTCGCCTGAGTTCACCGATTGCACAAGGGACTAATTTTAAAAACGCCCTCGGCTGGATTCCGGCAACACGAAAAGATTAAAGGACTAATCACGAAAGGCTTTTGAAGTCTGCTTAATGACATTGCCCGCTGACCAGTGTTTGAACGGGTCGCACAATAAGGGTGGCAACGTCATATTATGAGATATACTCTAGCTGTTGGATAGGTGAAACAACTTCACGAGTATGGCTGAGGAATTAAAGTTCGGGCTTGTTACAATGTGCTAAGATGAGGCTTAGACCGTACGTAGTTCCAACGGAAAAGGTTGTTTGCGACCAATTCTAAAGTGCTTGGAAAACAGGACCGCCCGCAAAACAAAATGTCACTCGAAAATTATCAGCATGCATGCATTTCGAATTGAGCCACTGCTTGATCAGAACTCTATCGTGCGTGAATTAAATCGGTCCTAGTTCCGGGCAACGAGAAGGATGCATCTAAAGCATCAAGCTTATACGTTCGATTCAAATGAACTTGCCGCTCAACGATCCTGATTGATGCCGGAAGGACTACGTGGGTCTTCGCTCAATCGGCGTTAACCAACCCGTACAAGAACACAAGGCTGTATATACGAGCCGTGAAGCTGTTATCTGTACCCAGTACGGGCCTGCAAATAAGCTGTCTTATATATACGGATCTGCTGATAGGCCGACACTCACGCAGCTCATTGGCGACCCTCACATAACTGCTATCGGCATGATCTACAGTAACTGTTTTACACACTGATTGATAATGCCTAGACACGCTTACTCCAGGCTTGCTTGATAGGGACGTTTACTTCAGGCTTCAGGGATATAGCGGCGAAGGTTTTCCCTGGATAACATCCTCCTGTATTCCGCAATCTGCGTCTGTTTACTGTTTTTCTCACAATGTAATTACTTTCATGCAGGATGAGCGGAACCAAATTATCACGACAAATATTTGGTTGAACATGGTGAGTTTGCGTGATCCGTGGGACTTGCATGTAACTCGCTGTTCTCTTGTCTTCGAGATTTGTCTAGTTCGTCGCCTTCCGTTACTCTTTTCGCCCCGCTTTTTGCGAACTCTCCCAGCTAAAGCTTTTCTCTTTTTACCCCATGTAGGACGAAAAGAACCAGGTTATTTCCACAAATATATGGTTACAGTATGTAAGTATAGGCGAAATATTAAACATACATTTAATAGGATAAATCATGTTGATTAACGACTCTTATATGCAGCTGGTGAATCTACCTTTGCTGCGAAGTAACGTCTAATATTCGATTCATAACGTAGTACATGATTTAATTTCCCAATTTTTACTCTTCGACAAAAATCAGCAAGTCCTGTCCTATATGTCTTTCTCTCTTCGCGGCGTACGTGACGGTTGTTTTAGCTTTGCGAATGCGCAAACCGCACGACATGTAGCTCTTGAACAGCTTTCTTCGTTTTTTGAGCATCCCGGCCGTTGCTTGCATGTTCGGCCTTCTCTCCTGAGATGTTCCCCGGCGCTACGTATAGACTGCAGACAGCACGCTGGCATGGCATTAGAATAATTTTGCGTTTAGCATGTTGCTTCGCCTCCGCTTCATTCGGCACCGCAATGCATCTCGACTTCCCCGCTTCGGCAAATACGGCTGATAGCAGGAAAATGGACGCAGCATGCATCGGTGATCCGCACGTGAACGTGAGTTGTTTAGCAGTTGTGGCTGTGAGATGATGCATGTCGTATGTCGCCTGTTGAATGAAGTCATATTCGAATTGTTTTTTCGATATTTTTAGAATTTCTGTATTCCCGGTTGAGTATAATTTTCACGAGATATACAGTATAGATAACAACACGCAAGCCTCGAATGATAATTTAGTTTTTCACGTATTATACACGGTTTACGATTTTTAACCAACTAGTATAATAATACATGTTATAAAAATAATAATATAATAATTATTATTAATACTAGTACCTTTACTACTATTCTTTTCAATTATTATTGCATATTAAGTATCGCTTAAATAAATAATTATAGTAGAATTTTCCCACTCTAATTAGCAATGATATCCTGATAACAGTTGTTATTGGTATCATTGCCATGGGAAACCTACGACGTAACACTCGACAATGACACAACACCTGACAGCATTTAGCTGTAGCACCCGATAACATAAGTATAACGCTCCTCTTAGTCTCTCTTGGATATTCATTAAGTGCGAAATTAATCGAATTGCATGTAGATTTTATCGGCAATTTTGAACGGCAGCATTTTTTTCTGTCGTTTCTTGCTCGCAGAAAAGTGACACTGTCATGTGAGCCGATAGTCAGTTGGCAACCGTCCTATAACAGATATCTTCATCAATTCCCTAATTACTCACGAGTCGACACCGGAGAGGGAATTGCACAGCCGTCTTTGCTGTCACGGCTCGCCCATTCGCCCATCAATCAGAACTTTGTATTACGAGCGGTGGCAGTTGCCGCGCCCGCAGCTAATCAAAACATGTAAATCACCCCGCCTTTTATGAATGCTCTCCCTTTCCTCGCAGCAGCAACGAGAAAAAAGAGTTATTTATCTCAAATATAACAAAAGTGCTATAGATATTTGGAGACTTGACTGATGTGTGATGTCGAAGAGTTCTCCGTGCAGTTTAGAATACACTTCCATTTATCTATTCCTATTCGGGAAAAATCTCACGTAATATAGATCTATACTTTCCTCTCTCGTCTCGCTCTTTAGACGGGTTGCCTTTCTCATGTATCTATCTATCTATCTATCTATCTATCTATCTATCATATTCTACTTACTATCTTTTCATCAATCTCTATCGTGTTTACTCTATCTTATCTTACTCATTATCTTAATACTATTATCTATCTTTTCTCATCGTATCTCAATAGTCTTCTTATCTAGATCTACTCTATCTAATTTATTTCTATCTATTATCTTATCTAATCTATATATATCTCTCATTCACTCTATTCTATATCTATCATCTTCTTCTATCTAATCTAATCTATTCTTCAATCTATCTATCTATTTTCTTTCTATCTCTATTTTCATTCTTTTATTCTTCTATCTTCTATCATCACTCTATTCTTATCTATTCATCATTCTATTCATAAATTCTATTATCTACCTCTAATCTATTATATTTCTCTATACTATCTCTTAATCATATATTCATTCTTCCTACCATATTCTATATATTCCTCTTATTCATACTCATCTATTCTATCTACTTAATCTACATTTCATCTTCTAACTCTCATTTCTATCTATCTACTATCTTATCAACTATCCACACTTTATATTCTATCTATCTACTCATATCCATTTATCTATCATCTATTTTTTGTTATCTATCTATCTTATCTACCTATCTATTCCTATTATCTATTTATACTTATTTTTATTATTTTTCATTATCTATTCTCTTCAACTCATCTCTCTCTCTCCCACTCTCACTCTCACTCTCTACACAATTCACTATGTAGAACTCACCGTATTCACGTATTGTAGAATCGGGTTGTTCTCTTAATTGAGCTGTGAGCATGGGTTGTTGTTTAGGATTGGAACGATGTCAATCTGATATGGAATCCGGCTGACTATGGAGGCATCGATAACTTACGATTAGCTCCCGACATAATCTGGAGGCCGGATGTCCTAATGTATAATAGGTAAGAACAGAGCTCAGCGCAGTTGTAAAAATGCGGCTGATTTATTTGCCTTGTTGTGAAATGTGATCAACTTAAAGTTCATCATAACTACTAACTCAGATAACTCATTTGATGTTTGAAGTGTCGAGTATACGCTCACAATGTGTGGTTTTATGGTACGGTAATCTACGGTAACGGTAGCGGTAGCGGTAACGGTTACGGTAACGTTAACGCGTAACGTGACGGTTTATCCGGTTAACGGTTCCGGTACGGTACCACCAACACCATAACGTTACGAGTAACGGTTACGGATACGGTAATCGGTAACGGTTCGCAGGTAACGGTACCGCGTCGGGTTACAGTAACGTTAACGGTAACGGCTTACCGTAACGGTAACGGTTACGTGTTACGGGCTTAAGGTACGCGTTGACGGTTACGGTAGCCGGTTCACCGGTTAACGGTCACGGTAACGATTTTTACGGTTACTCGGTACGTGCTTTACGGGGCCGTTTACCGTAACGGTTTAGTAATCGGTACACGTAAACGATACAGTGCAGCAACACAAGTAACGGTATGTGGTCATGTTTACGATCTAGGTGTAGCGCAGATAGCGAGTCAGAGCTTCGACCCGATCACGTTGGGACTCGATATAATAACGAACGCGTTCCATACGAGTAGGAGTTGTTATAAACTTTCCGATGCGCGTTGAATTTTAGTAAATTTTTCGATAAAAAAAAAGAAAGAAAACAACACTCGGCTGGAAAAGAACTCGGTCATGCACGCTGCTGTTTACTACTTAGCAGGCGGCGCCGACAAAAAACTTTATAAGCGACACAGATATAATGAACAAGATTGGTATTTGATTGCCAAGGCCAATCGGCTGGGATCAGCGGTCCCTCTGTTCCGTGAATATCCGGGTAGCCTAGCCGGCCGTGTCGAGTGGAATGTCGTGTTCACGAGTCAACAAGGGTCAGCGGACCGATGCGCTGAGGCAGTAGCAACCCCGAACCGAAGGCATTGGGCGAGAGAGAGAGAGAGAGAGAGAGAGATGAGTCGAGGAAGCAGAGAGAGGAGAAGAGACCGAGAAGACGAGAGCAGAGAGAAGAAGAGAGGAGGGCGAGAGAGGCTCGAGAGAGGTCAGTGGAGAGCAGATGAGGACGAGACCGAGAGAGAGAGGAGAGAGGAGTGAGAGAGGAGAGGAGAGATGGCGGCTAGATAGGAAGCGAGATCGAACGAGTGAGAGCGCGTATGTAGAAAGAGAGAGATAAATGAGATAACCCGCGCAGAAGAGAGAGAGAGAGAGAGAGAGAGAGAGAGAGAGAAACAGAGAGAAAGAGAGAGGACGAGAGAGGGGGGAGAGGGAGCGGAAGAGAGTCGGCACCTTTGCGGGGCATCGGCTATTACGCGGGATTTTCGTGTAACGAATAGCACGTCTCAGTAAACAAACAGACGCGCCTTTCATACACAGCCGCCTCGCACCGCGTCGCTGCATGCGAGTATCGTCTGTCGGCCGCCTGGCGCTCGACCACGCGGCTTACTTAAACTAAAAGCGTATTTCCGATTCTCTCGCGGCTTCGGTTTACACAGCTCGCATGTCGACGCGCGTGTCGGTCGGCCTGGCCGCCGTGGACATGTACGCGCGGGGCGTAAGCCTACACGGCGTGGCTCATCAACGATGCAAACAGCTTTCGGTCGTGATTGGAATTAGAGCCGATTCAACGTTTCATGATCAGTGCGATGATAAAACTCGTTTAGTTATCGGCGCTAAATTGCGATGCTAATGATCGTATAGCTCATACTCGCACGCATGCGCGTATCTGGACGCGAATTTCATTGCTTAGAAGCTGGCGCTGCGTTCGCATAATGTCAGTGTATTAGTAACATGGTCATGTAACATTGCATGATTCCCTAAAGGTTTCAAGTAGCGGGGGACGGTCTGCGATTATAATAATCGAGGAGGAAGCAAATTTCTAGGATCTTTAACGATATACGGCAACTGATCTGATTGTTTGCAGTGCCGACACGAAATTCGACGGAACGTATCATTCTAACATAGTGCTGAGCTCAGACGGAAACTGCTCTTACATACCTCCGGGAATATTCAAGAGCACATGCAAGATCAATATCGCCTGGTTTCCGTTCGACGAGCAAAGGTGAGGCAATAACTTACGCTGTGAACGGATATCGCGATCCCGTTATTGCGCTTCGAAGATTTGCAAAATAAATTCACATAAGAATGCCAAGAAATGTGCTTGCAAAGAACAAAATTATTTAATCGAACTCGTGAATATAGATGAAGAGTTCCCTAAACTAAGTTTGACGACATTAAGCATGTGTGTTATTAATTTAAGAATGACAAGTCACCGATATTTTCCTTGTTTTTCATTTCTTCATTCGTTCATGCACCTATTCCCAGTTCAACGTACAAAGACCATGTTCAGGAATGAACTGAAAAACACAGACGCGCGCACACATACACACACCCGCACACATGCACACACGAAGACTCAGGCTGCAGTTCATACCAGCCATTTTATTCTCTACTCATGTAGCTATGCTCTACTCACGTAGACATGGTAATGGTAGACTGCAACACATAGATATTACAAGCTTTGAATCCACACACAATACAATAATGAATTCAAGTTATACATTACACAGCAACACGATTACACAGGTATCACAGATACACTGCTAACAAATGACAACTTTGCATACACAATAAATCTTCATTTTCCCCTAATTTATCCGATACAACCTTTGGATATTCTGATATATATTATCTGGGGTATTCTGCGGTTTACGCCAATATTCCGACATATATTAGCTGGGGTATTCTGCGCCCTACGGCAATATTCCGATATAATATTAGCCGGGGTATTCTGCGTACAGCAATACTCTGACATCACTGCTTCAAAATACATTTACACGAAACACCCAATTTACTTACAAAACGCTGAAGCCTTTCCTCAGATACGTCACGGACATCACATCAAATTATATATATATATAGTATATGGTCACTACACTAGACAGAGTTGTAAACGTGCTGTTATGTGCTTAGACGCCCCCATAAATAGCGTGTCTGATGTTTTTACTCATTTCCACGCGCTAAACGAGAATCTACAGACACACCTGTTTTTAACCGATAATACACACTTCGCAGATCACTGCTTAACAAAGAAGGGTTGTGCGTGGGCCGCGCAATTGAGTCCCAAGCTCTAAGTGTTGTTTGCTACCACTCGATAGATAACTCTACTGTTCTCATAATTATAAGACAGCATAGCGACAGGGCGACAGCGCAACGGTAAACATAGTGTGATCGATAAAGACACTCATCTGTCTCACGCTGCCTCCCAAGAAGCACACAACCAACGCGCTCTGGCAGACGATACTATAATTATTTCCCCGACGAATTCCCCAACCTTGTTTAATTCACAGACATCTGACGTTCGGGTAAGCGTAGGTTGCGAAGATATGTATGTGAGAAATTAGCAGATATATTCGCGCACTAGTATGTATACGACTACGTATTATGGCTTCTTGCTTGTGTGATATATATTTATACCTTATAACAGCATCATAGGGAGCTGGATTGTTTTTATCGTACCGTAGGTCTATATCCAAATGTAACAAGTTCACACCGTCTTTGCAATGGAAAGAAACCACATTCTGCCTTTGCTCATCTAGGCGCTACTTCTCGTATATTTACCACAAATCTAAATCTGTCACCCTGGTATGCTATTAATTGTATCTATAACGGGGTATTTCGCGTTACCTTAGAGTACTGTGCTATTACGCCATGATGAAATAAGATACACTAATAGTGTAATAGACACGCAAATAATAGGTACATGAATATTAAACACGAGAAGTGTCCATTATTTACTGCTGATTAGATCCTATATGCCATTTGGCTCGGTGACATCGTATTCTTGTTTCCATACGTAATTATTATAGCGCACGATTTCTTATACATTCACAGAGTATTTTGCCAGCTCTCTCACTACACTACACGTACACACGACTGACTCACATTTATCAAACATCGTGGTGTTATTACCATCACAGAATGTATAGTGGGCAGTAAACACCGAACACTGTTTGTCTATTATTAGCATCGCATTGCGATCTGTAATGGTAATTTACTAGAAAATCAAACCACAATCAAAACATTTACTTTAGCAGGAATTTTGACTGAGCCCGTCCTACAATAACGTTGATATCAATAAAAATAATAGCGAGGTCCATTAATGTGTTGTCACGAATTATCACTTTTTACCGTGCTATTTAGATAATCGATTCATCCAGATAAGAAGTTCGTGTAAAGAAATGGCTACGTGCTGTTTTTGGCAATAGACGCTTTTGACGTAGAATACGTATGGTGATCTAAGAACGGGTTACGTTATTACACAATGGGGCGATATATACCAAATTACAATCACGCTTAAACTAATCAACGTATTAAATTATACAGTCTCACGGTTTATTACGTGACCAATTATACGTGTGCTCACCTGATGACGACAATCTAAAACCTAATTATAATGTTCCGGCGCGAGATTACTATGCGTTTGATGCTTTATCGGAAGATAAGGGTAGTTATTGGAAATTATTTTATAATTTTCCCACTTGTGCAGTGGTTATTTAAACTGCGCATCAATTTTTGCGCTGCCATTTGTTTAGAGTATTATGCAGGTTTTAAACTTCACATTAAATTTCCGCGTCATTTCGTAATGTTCTGTCTACAATATCGTCTGGCGCCTTTATGCCATCAGAACAAGCGTGAGGATTAACGCTGCTTCGCTCCAACGCTGTACGCAATTGCATCGTGACTTTTCTTAACATAATTCCAACGTATTTCGTCGCGGCTCTCTCGGTGCGTCGACGAATGACGATTGCAATTATAATATTCAAGACGCGCAGTTACACACGATTTTAGACGAGTAGATCGTATTCCATGTTGCTTTAAATTCGTTTCAATACGCGTTCTGGTTAGTTTTGTTGCGATGCGTATACGTTGTCGATGAATAACAATTACGACTGCAGCATATAGAGCGTCTCGCAGGCAATTACAGTAGAATGTTACCGGCGAAGCAAGATCATCTATCAAACCGGCTCTATTGCAGATCGCAAGCGATTCTGACATTTAAACGGGCACCGGCGCCGTTTCTTGCATATGCGCTCGTCTGCTATAACTCTATTCAAACTCTTTATCTCTTCGTACTCCTCTCGTGTTATTTCTGTAGCTTTCGTTCGCTAATTTCTCTCGCTCTTTCTCCGTCTTGCTATAATACTCCTCTATATCACCGTCTCTCCTTCGTGCTCTTCGTCCTCAGTCTCTCCTTCGGTCCCGCGATTTTTCTTCGCCTCCCCCTCTCTCTCCTTCTTGCATATTGCGCGCGCCTGGGAGTAATCCTCCTTATCAGCGTCGCTACTGACGAACCTGGTCTCCGTATCCTTCACTGCATGTGTACCACCATTCTTCTCTCTCTCTCTCTCTCTCTCTCTCGTCTCATCTCGCTCTCGGATCCGTCGCTCTCTCTATATATCTCATCTTCTGCAGTGCGTCACACATCCCCCACCATCTCTCTCTCCTATCTGCTCTCTTCTCTCTCTCACAGCACACACCACACCCACCCACACACACACACACACGACACACAACACACCACCACACCACAGCGCACACACAACTCTCTGCTCTCCTCATCACAAACACACCACACACACACACACACACACACAACACGGCACACCACACGACACACACACACACACTGCTCTACTCTTCTCTCTCCCTCTCTCCTCTCTCTCTCTCTCTCTCTATTTCTCTTCTCTCTCTCTCTCTCTTTGCTTCTCTTTCTCCTCATGCTGTCTGTCTCTCTCTCTCGTCACGCTCCCCCCGCGTAACGGCGTTTGCCGACTTGTCTCTCGCGTGATACCGTGTATTGTTCCTTGTCGTTTAACTAATGATAATCACGCTTATGCTTTTTATCTGAACGACAGATGCATAATGAAGTTCCAGGCTCGTGGATCGTACGACGGCTAAACCGAGTCGACCTCCAACTATATATGATCAGGGTGACCACCCGACTCCTTCATAGACGAACGGCGAAGGGATCTCATCGGTATACCATAGCACGCAGCCATTACGCCGAACGTTCGACCGCGATGCTTCGTCCGCGCATATTGACTCTCGTAATATTTGTTTTGAAAATTGAGGCGATCGACGAAAATCGTATTGCGATAATGTCACGAGACGATGTAACGTTCATCGGCTAGATTTATAGGCGCCTGTCGTTTGGGCCGGCAGACTCCAAATAGACTAATAAAGTTAGCACAGCCATTAGCCATTACATGTACTAACATGATCACTGCATGATTTTTTTGGCGCAGTATCAAGGTCAAACCTTTTTGCAGCATACGTTCGTTAAGATTTGGCGCATGATCTGGTAAAAGTGGAGTATATTACACAAAACACGGAACGATAATTCGTGTACGTATGTCCGATAAGATGTTTACGAGATTTCTATCAACGTAATGGTCCGAACGCGTCGACCGATACTACCTCTCGCCTTAAACGTAGCAATTGTGCGATACATGTATCAACGCTAACGTCACCTGTGCCGTCTTATACAAACCCGAACGTCAGCACTCTGTGTTTCGCAGAGATACCTGGTAAGAGAATGTCCTCAATACGCCTGCTGCCCGGAACCGTATCCGGACGTGACGTTTACAGTGGTGTCGCCGACGCGTGCTGTACTACCTGTTTAACCTGCTTGATACCGTGATTTTTAATCTCCGGCAATGACGTTAACGTCGTCTTGTGTTCTCCAAGAAGTCCGGCGAGGAGCTACGCTGTGTGAGTATTCTCCTACATGATGGCGGCCAAACCTTGTCGCCATCTTATTTTGCAATCATAAGAATCATTCCACGAGCTGTATATATTAAAACCATTATTGTAATCTAATATAATAATTTGAGTAGCGTCGTTCTGTTGTTCCATGCATAACTTCTAGGCGCGTGTACGAATCCGGCTGAAATTTTTTCGTGCTTCATTCCTACGCATCAGGTTCGATCTAACACTTTTTGCTTTTTGTTATTTATTGGTTAAATGTATATAAACAACATATTTAGACAAAGTCGAATG